TGTGTGTCCCCAGCGCGGCTGTGGCTCCGGGGCACCGGGGATCCCCTGTGTGTCTCCTGTGTCCTCAGAGTGGCTGTGGTTCTGAGGGCACCGGGAGTCCCCTGTGTGTCCCCATGCGACTCTGAGGGGACCGGGGCACCAGGGGTGTGAATGGGGACTTGGCAGCAGCACTCGTGCTGTGTCTGCGCGCTCTCCATGCCAGGGGACACCGAGCAAACCCCAATGTTTGTGGGGTGTCCCCCAAGAGCTGCCACAGCCAGTGGGGACATGCAGGTGAGATGTGTCACTTGCTGTTTGTGTCCCCTGCAGGTTGTCTGGAGCATGCTGGGGAACAGGCAGTTCTGCTCCTACAAGATGACGTGAGTCTGGGGGACACGGTGGGCTGGGGGCTTTGGGGGATCCAGCGGGGACATCCTCTAAAGTGTCGCCTCTGTGCCACAACATGTAACAGTCACAGAGCATGGGGTGAGCTGTGGGAGCTGTGGGATCTTCCTGTCCACCCCTCATGAATTCCCTGTCCTATTTTTTTGTTTTTTTGCAGCACCAAAACACAGAATTTCTGCAGGAACGAGTACAACCTGACAGGGCTGTGCAACCGCTCCTCCTGCCCGCTGGCCAACAGCCAGTACGCCACGGTCCGGGAGGAGAAAGGTGGGAGCAGGGAAAGGGAGCAGGGATTCCTGCTTGGAAAGGGGATCAGGGAAAAGGAGCAGGGATTCCTGCTTGGAAAAGGGATCAGGGAAAGGGAGCAGGGAAAGGGAGCAGGGATTCCTGCTTGGAAAGGGAGCAGGGATTCCTGCAGGGAAAGGGGATCAGGGAAAGGGAGCAGGGATTCCTGCAGGGAAAGGGGATCAGGGATTCCTGCAGGGAAAGGGGATCAGGGAAAAGGAGCAGGGATTCCTGCTTGGAAAGGGAGCAGGGATTCCTGCAGGGAAAGGGGATCAGGGAAAGGGAGCAGGGATTCCTGCTTGGAAAAGGGATCAGGCCTTAGAAAGGGCCCCCAGGGGGGTTTGGAGTCCCCAATCCTTGAGGTGCTGTGACTGTGTTTACAGGGGTCTTGTGTTGAGGGAAGAGATGAGGATCTGACTCCATGTTTCAGAAGGCTTGATTGATTATTTTATGATATATATTATATTAAAACTATACTACAAGAATAGAAGAAAGGATTTCATCAGAAGGCTAGCTAAGAATAGAAAAAAGAAGGAATGAATAACAAAAGCTTGTATTGCAGACTCTCTGTCTGAGCCAGCTGGGCCATGATTGGCCATAAATTAGAAACAACCCCATGAGACCAATCCCAGATGCACCTGTTGCATTCCACAGCAGCAGATAACCATTGTTTATTTTTTGTCCCTGAGGCCTCTCAGCTTCTCAGGAGGAAAACATCCTAAGGGAAGAATTTTCATAAAAAGATGTCTGTAACAAGGTGCTGTGGGAATGCCAGGATGTGGCACTGGGGATCAAAGGTTGGGTTTGATCTTGGAAGGTTTTTCCAGCCTGGATGGGTCTGGGGTGCAGTGGGCAGAGAGGGGTGGGTGGTGCTGCCTG